TTACGCTCCCCGAGGCGCGGGGAGTACCACGAGAATAGACGAAACGCAGTTGTCGCTACGGTCGGCGGCGGTAGTGGTCGTCGAAAAGTCGGCGGCCGTCGACAATACAAAGAATCGACAATCGCAAAACGGCTAGCTGGGCGGACCAGGCGCGCAATTGGCACGAAGGCTCGTGAGAGGGAAAAGAGGGGGGAGGAGAGCGAGTGTGCCAGCTCGTCAACGTCCCTTTTCTACATGCGCAAAAGGAGGGTTTGTTGGTCGGGATCGTGAAGTCAGATGGTGGGTTTGTGTGCGCTGGCTTTTGTTGTTGGTAGCAACCCCCTTGCGATGTTGATATTTGCCCCGGTGTAAACATTGGGAGTCGCGACATGGTCTTCTCTAACTGGACCGCGTTTGGGCGACTGCCTCCTTTGTTTACTGCCTCAGGCTAATCCCGACCAAGGTAAGCGCCCAGGGACGTGGGAGCGCACGAGAGCGGGGTTGGCAGCCACATCTGCCCCGCTGTCCAATTGGATCGTGGCGTCGCTGCATTACAGAAAAACTCAGGTAAGAACACTGAAGGACGGGAGCCAACGGCAGGGTGGGACTTTCCGGACACTGTTAATGTGCAGCAGCTTAGGTTACCTACTTGACTGCTTCACCAGTACGTGGGCTCGCGATTCGACAAGGCCAACCAAAGTTTCGATGACTTCCATTAGCATCAACATCTGAGCTACTTCAACAGAAAACCCGACCAAAATTGTTGACACCGCCTCTGCACCCCCCCAAATAAACACCTCACTAATACGCCCTCCCGCTGCCCAAATCAGACCGCTTCTCCGCTCGCTTGTCTAGCTTCAAACAACGCGCTTCGTCTTGCCCGTCTCAACCTCGTAGATCCAGCCGCTCAGCGCCACGCTTTGTGGGACAAGCTCAGTCCCCTTGATATAGTCAATGTCTTTCTTGACAGCCTCCTCCAGATCAGAAAATGGCAGAAAGTCGAGACTGCGAGCCTTGAGCTCGGCAGACGCTCCAGCTCTACATGCATGTCAGCGGAGAAAGGCCTGGTTGGCCGTGGCTTCAAGGTACGAACCCTAAATTCTGGTCAACGAGTGCGTAGGCGTCCTCGTTCTTGAAAGTCAGCATCCCGCAGCCAGTGTGCTTTACGAGCACGATCTCATGCGTGCCGAGAAGTTGCTGAGAGATGACAATGCTGCGAAGCGCATCTACGGCAGATGCGCCGGCCTGTTGGTCTCAACATTTAGCTGCCGACCAGTCAACGTTACCAGATTTGAGCCCTCACATTGCGAATGACATGCGCATCGCCTAGCTCGATACTAAAAGCCCGCGCCGGGTCAATTCTAGCATCCATGCAAGTCAGGACTAGATACTTCTTGGCCGGAGGCAACGCCAAATGCCCCTTGGTGAAGCCGGAAGAGTAGCTTTCAGATGCGGCTTCGACGTTCTTCTGGATAGCGGACATTGTGGAACGATCAACGTGTAAGGCACAGGTTGTGTGTAATAAAATGACAGAGAAGGACAGATGCAGTTGCGAGTTGCGAGTTGAGGGAAACGGCGGCTCTTAAGTAGCTAACAGCTGTCTCGGCATTGTCAGAAGTGGGAGATCTCTTGGCTAGATATATCCATTTGTCTCCAGCCTCCCCTCTCACCCGAGACGTCCTATCTACAGCAGAAATACCGCCCGTGATGCCGGTGGTATCTGATTGTGGATGGATTGCGTGATCTCGGGCTCTGTGAATATCACAGCTATCGAGCCAACGAGCTTCGCCGTCCCCGCATCCCAAAGAACGGCTCAGTCCCGGCTGGGGAAGGTGAGGTCTGCTCCAAAAGCTCAGCTTCGGAGTGGGGTTGCCAGCGTCGCCGATTGGCGTTACAGACTTGGATATGTAAGCTGTCTCCGATCTGGCGGGGGGTTTTTGGCTAAGTCGTTCTTCAGAGAGGCTGTCAAAGCTGCATGAACAGATGCAGTCGCATCGATGGTCAAATGCAGAGAGGGCGAGATGTATCTTCCCGGCCAGTCACCGAGTATTTCCAATTTGTTTCCCGCAAGTTGCAGCCAGTCAGCAAAGTAGTCCATCGGGATTCAATCAAGTCGAAGGTGAGACAGGATAATTCTGAAAGCCAGTGTATTTCAAATCCCGTCTTTGGCCCATGGAATTATGACGAATTTTGAGTCGCCTCAACAATGTCCTAATATCTAGAATAACTCCTCTTCACCCAACGCCGTGGACGAGAACAGACTACGTTCACTAAGACTGAAGCGCCTTGTAGAAAAAGACTTCATCCTTGAGCTGTCGTGGAACCGCAGGGCTGATGCCGAAGTTGGGAATCCTGCCAACCTCGATGTAGCCGAACTTTCTGCATACTTCCTCAGCTGTGCTGCCGGCCTCCGTATCAAGCATCTGCGCAGATTGTCAGCAATAGTGTCGGATAACTGGGTGCAGAGTGGCTCATACCAATAGCGTCCGTCCCCTCCTGATGGACTCGCCTTCCAAAGCACCGATCAGCATCCTAGCACCGCCGCGCTGACGGAACTTTGGGCTGATGAGAAGCTTCTCGACAAAACCGCGGAAAGGACCTGTCTCAGAATATGGCATCCAGAGCATGACAACGCCCATGAGCTCTGTCCCCTTGGGCTTTGTTCCTGGCTCAGACTCGTCGAGGAGAATGAGCATCATGCGAGTGCCTCCACTGACCTCTGCAATGCGCTCCTTCCAATAACCCAGCAATTTCTCATGGGACAGAGGCGGCAAGAATGTGGCCAGAGTCCGGTCATGGCTGATGCACGATGCATGGAGGGCTGCAAGATACGGAATCAGATGGCTGTGGTCTGCGGGCGAAAATAAGTAGGGGGTTCCCGAGCTTGAGGACATTGTCGCAGGGTTTTCTCGGGCTCTGAGGGACGAGTTCGGGGGCTGGATATTCGCCGTCTGCCTTGTAATTCGGCTAGAGACACGCTGGCCGGTTTCCAATGCGATGTCGCCCTTGTAATCTTGGGTTATTGTGCAACTCGACCAGCAGTCAAAAGCTGACAGAGATCGACAGCGCAGGAACGGTGCGAGGGTATGCGTGTTCTGACCCCGGCGCGAAGTTGGGGAACTGGACGCCCACCAAACCCGGTTAAGGGATACGGTGTTGGACAACAGCTGAACTGGACCAGAATATATCAGAAACGGGGGCCTCTGGCAATCTTGAATGTGGGAATCCAGAGAAGTAAGGTCGTCTAGAAAGGGCTTTCGGGGCATACAGCGGCGGAGTTGTAAAACAGTGAGGGGGATCTTTGACAAGTGAGGGGGAAGCGAGTGAGTGAGTGCCTGACAGAAAAGCTCACCTCAGCTTGTCTCTGTCTGTGTCTCTCTCAGGTGAGAAAGATGGCACGAGACAGGAAGGTGTGACAAAACAAGCTACCCAGTGTATCTACCTTAGGCAAGGTAAGGCAAGGTAAGGCAAGGTAGGTAGGTTGGCTCAGGTTGCTCCGGGGTGGGGACCGCGTATGAGTCAATTGATGTAATTGAGAAACGGGCAGATGTTTTATACGAAATGCTCAGGTCCGTCTGCAGAAGGGACTTTTGTGGTCATGGAAGCTTTCCTGCACTTCGCAGTTCCGTTCCAGAAGTCTCAATTAAAGGCTGAATTGGCGCTGGTCAGTGGTCTGCCGTCTCTTCGTACCTGAAGGTAGGTAGGTATTGGATTGGCCCCAAGCTCGCCCAGCCCGCCGGCTGCGAGGGAATTCCCGGCGCAAATGACACGCACGGCACCGCACGCCGGCAGGGACCTGGAGCGGGCTTGCCCCGCAGCATAGGTCAGTCAGTCACCCAAGGTAAGGTACCTGGCTGCAAGCCGTCGTGGTGTGCCGCCCAGGGCCTGAAGCACCCGACCTCGGACGCTGTCGCCGCGCTGCAACTGTACTCGCAAATACCTAGGCAGGTGTCTGTAATTTCCTTACCTGACCTACCTCACCTAGGTAGGTAGCGAAGTAAGTCTTAATTATGGAACTAAAAGGAAATAGGTATCAAAAGACGACAAACCTGCATGCACTAGAGAGTTTGCCATGCTATCAGCCGACAACTCGTAGCGATCCCTGACATGACTGACGCGGCGTATCGGGCCTCAGCATACAGCCGTTCTTCCTTTGGTCTTTCTCAAGACTAGCCCGGCAGCTGAGACCTTGCCCGGCGTCTGCCAGATCTCAACCGGTGTAAGGTACGGATAGTTGCGGTCCTTGGCAGAGATGAGGCATCATGCCAAAGCAGCCAACCATGCATGCATGCACAGTGCTCTTGTTGACGAATAAGCTCTTGTTGACGAATAAACAAACATCTGCATCTCTCTCTCTCTCTCTCTCTCTCTCTCTCTCTCTCTCTCTCTACCCACCCACCAGTCTGCGAATAGTCTACCTCACCTAGCGTCAGCCCCTCCATGGATTCCCCTCTTCCCCAGCGGTCAAACTGCTGAAGGACACATGTTACAGACAAATCAGGTTTGCCCACCTCACCCTTGCAACCCTCTTGAAGATGGCCTTTCCCATAGGCTATCACAACTCGGCGCAATGGGAACCTCCCGTATCAATCCACTCGCGGGAGCCCCGGACACACGGGCCATCCGAGAGGTGTCGTCTCACCTCCCCTTCACCGCAACAACATGAGGTAAATCCGATGTAGGTACCTGGATCTATGTACCCAAGCTTCCGGCTTCCATTGGTGGTGGTGGTAGTAGGTTGCCTCAGCTCCCGCCGCTTGCCCCTCGTACCTATTTGCTTCACATGCAGCTTAATTGGGAGCTGCCCCTCTGACGTCGCTCTCCAGACCCTGTTTCATCGTCAACTTCAACTCCCGGTTCCCCTCCTCAAAAGCTTAGCCAACAGCACCACTATCTCTTCACTCCGTGGCAGCAGCCGTCCTCTTCCCGTGCACTCGCTCGCCTGTACCACATCCTCAATTTGACCTAATCGGTCTCGATCACGACCTCATCCCGTCTCACTACAGCAGCTCCCCGCCTTCATGGATCGCATCTTCCGCAAGGTGGAGCGGGGCGTCGAAGCCCTCTTTGGGGAAGAGAGGCACGCGCACACTCACTCCGGTCACTCCTGCGAGGAGCATCATTCCGATGCCCACACTGGAAACCGATTCCAGTCCTTTGCTGCGCAGACCACCGGCAACGCCAAGTGGTATGTCGACGGATGCTCTTATTTCTGGGCCGTTTCCGAGGCCATTGAGCGTAAGAACACACACACATGAGCATCCTGCCGGCACTATTGACTGCCACTGACCGTGTCGCTATGTAGAGGCCCGCGAGAGCATCTACATTCTGGATTGGTGGTTGAGCCCGGAGCTCTACCTGCGCCGGCCCCCTTCTGCCAATGAACGATACCGTCTCGACAACCTGCTCAAGGCTGCTGCTGAGCGAGGTGTCAAGGTCAACATCATTGTCTACAAGGAAGTCGAGGCTGCACTGACCTGTGAGTATTCATACATGTCAGAACCCGTCTCACCAAGCTAACTAGCTCGATAGTGAAGTCATCTGTAAGTCCATGTCGATGCACACATGCAACCAAAGCTTCATCCATGAACACCATCGATACTTGACTCATGCTGATGTCTTCTCAAGCACACAAGGACCTACCTGGAAAGCCTTCATCCCAACATCGGCGTGTTTCGACACCCTGACCATGTTCCCACTGGATACGACCTCAACAGCGAGATTGGCGAGAACTTCTCAAACCTCTCCTTGAGCACGTTCAAGCTATCCACTTTCTCTGGTGATGCCCTGAAGACCATCTACGGTACCGCCACCGACGGCGTCGTCCTATTCTGGGCCCACCACGAGAAGCTCTGCCTCATCGATAACAAAATCGCTTTCATGGGAGGTTTGGATATGTGTAAGTGATGAGCAGCGGTTGAGTCGTTGAATCAAGATGAGAACTCCGCTAACCAGATTTCAGGCTTCGGCAGATGGGATACCAACAGTGAGTTTGAATTGGGAATGGTATTAAGCGCCGCTCTGACACACGTACAGGTCATCCCATTGCGGACGCTCATCCCGGCAACTTGGATGCCATCGTCTTCCCTGGCCAAGATTACAACAACGCGCGTGTCTATGACTTTGCCGACGTTGATAACTGGGAGCAGAACAAGCGTCAGTCAACATTTCCGGCCTGTACACTCGAAACACATACTCACTCATTCGCTAGTCGACCGCACCAAGAGTTCACGAATGGGCTGGTCTGATGTTGCCATCAGCTTGAGTGGTCCCATCGTTCAAAGCTTGTCGGAACACTTTGTCGACAGATGGTTGGTTCATTCTGCATTCCTCGGCGGCAGCAACACTTTATCTGACTTGGATGTAGGAACTTCATCTTTGATGACAAGTACACCAAGAAGAACCCTGGGAAGTATGGCAGAATCGACGGCTTCAGCCAGGAGTCGGGAAGAATTGCCGAGGACGGCCAGGGCGGTGGTTTCTTCGGCGGCGCTGGTCACCAGGCAGGCCATCTTTTCGGTGATCTCGGAGACCGCATCAACCGAGGCATGAGCCATTTGATGGTCAGCGACGACCAGCCCGAGAATGATGGCAGACCTCTGCGTCAAGACCGGGGTGATCAGTCAGCCAATATTCAGCTCACTCGCAGGTAATTTGGCGTCCACTTGTCTGTCTCAGATGCAATCACTAATGAAGAGTAGCTGTACCAAGTGGTCTTCCGGTCATCCCACCGAGCACTCCATCGCCAATGCCTATATTGACGCCATCACCAGGGCTCAACATTTTGTCTACATGGAGAATCAGGTAAGTAAACCTCCCCTCTGTTGAAACCGATACCGCTCCTAACGGAGACAAGTTCTTCATCACTGCCACTAGCGACAAGCAGCACCCCGTCACCAACAAGATCGGCCGCGCCATCGTCGACCGTATCCTCCGCGCCCACCGAAACGGCGAGGAGTTCAAGGTCATTGTCAACATGCCCGCCGTTCCCGCCTTCGCCGGCGATCTCAAGGCGGACGACGCACTGGGCACCCGCGCCATCATGGAGTTCCAATACAACTCCATCAGCCGCGGCGGACACAGTATCATGGAATCCCTTCGCAACGAGGGCGGTATTGACGACCCTGGCCGGTATATCCGCTTCTACAACCTCCGCAACTACGACCGCATCAACGTGTCCTCCGATATGTCCCGCGCTGAGCGCGAGAGCGGGGTGTCGTACGAGGACGCCCGCCGTGAGCATGACGATGCCGTCGGTGCTGGCTACGAGCCCCGTGGCGAAGGCACCGGTGCCAGCTGGGGCGGGCGCAACACCCAGTACGACCGCTACCAGCAGGCCGCCTCCCGCGTCGGCGACCACACCTGGGACACCGTCTCGTCCTGCTACATGGACGCCGGTCCGGATCTGCACAGCGTTCCCTGGCAGGGCGAGCCGGAAGCCGAGATGGACGCCTTCGTCAGCGAGGAGCTCTACATCCACTCCAAGCTCCTTATCGCCGACGACAACCTCGTCATCGTCGGCTCCGCCAACCTCAACGATCGCTCTCAGCTCGGCACACACGACTCCGAGATCGCCGTCATCATCGAGGACCCCACACCCGTCGAGTCCGAGATGGCCGGCCGTCCCTACACAGCTTCCAAGTTCGCCGCATCCCTCCGCCGCCAGATCTTCCGCAAGCACCTCGGTCTGCTGCCCGACCAGCGCTGGGACCGGCCCGACGATAACTGGACGTCCGTCGAGCGCGGCCCGAACGTGTACGACTGGGGCTCCCCCGCCGACCGCCTGGTGCAGGACCCCATGTCGCGCGAGTTCTGGAACCTGTGGGAGGGCACGGCGCGCACAAACACCGAGGTCTTTTCCAAGGTCTTCCATAACGTGCCCAACGACCATGTGCGGACCTGGAAGGACTACGACGAGTTCTTCTCCCGGCACTTCATCATCCCCGGGGCCAAAAAGGAGGGCGAGGGCGAGGGCGAGGGCGACAACGCTGGCAAGGTCGAGTACGGCCACGTCGTCAAGGAAGAGTTCCCCGGCGGTGTTCGGGAAGTCAAGGACTGGCTCAACCGTGTGCGCGGCAACATTGTCGAGATGCCTCTTGACTTCCTCGTGGACGTGGATGACATTGCCAAGGAGGGTCTGTCTCTGAACAGCTTCACTGATGAGCTCTACACATAAAGTGGCAGTGGCGTGTAAAACCTAGTGGATGGTGCAAGCAGGAAACACACACCTACACACAGGGAGGACTTCTGGATTTAGAAAAAGAAGAAAAGGGTAAGAAACAAGTAAAGGCTTTAGGGCAGGAAAACACATGGACACCATCCTGGCGAGGAAACAGACAGATTCGTTACCAATGGATATTGAATGACAGTTGACACCGTCTTGGGCTTCTTCTCATGTATGTGATGAAGTTGACCTCGTCTACATCAAGGCATGTTCCTCTGACCTGCACTCAGTCCACGTGTCCCCTTAGCCCAAGAGTTTCATCTTAATGACGTGTTGTAACTGGAATAAAACAATGTATAATCTGTCAAATGGCGTGCAGGGCATTGCATTTTCCACCAAAACAAAGAGTATTATACAGACCTCCTGCCCTGCACCACAGTTCCCTCAGAGACAAAGAAAGCAAGGAAAAACATAAAATTGTCCCCTTCAACTCCGTGAGTAGGCATCGCAATGCTTCAGGTTTTCTTTTTCTTCATCCTGTCCCCGGAAACGTGCGTGCATAATGTGCACATGCACGCCCTTTAGTCGAGCCCAAATAGTCATAGCCTCATTCATGGCTTTCCATTAGTCCAACTTTCGAAGACACTCCCGTTTGGGGAGGTGCCTAAACTCCTCAGCCCTTCTCAGGCCCTCTTCGTGCGCGTCGGGCTTCTAGTCCACCTTGCCGTTACCGTTGGGTCCCAGCAGGCCCTCCTTCATCAGCTCCTTGTTCCCCCAAGACTCCTCCAGGCGGAAGTGGCCACCGCGGCCCCTGCGGACACGGCCGCGGAACCAGGAGGCAGCACCAAGAGCCAAGCCGAGAATACATCCCATAGTCAGGTACGGGTGCTCAACAAAGGTGACGCGCATATCGAAGAAGATCTTCTCAAAGCTTGAGATAGTGAGCTTGGGCTTGATCTTGGGCGGCGAAGTGATGACCTTGTTAATGGTCTCCAGGATCGACGTCCTCGACAGAAGAATGTTGTTGCCAGTGATGGTAGTGTCCCAGTATCGGCGGTTCTGTCCATGTAGTTAGTTTGCCTGTTTGCCAGGTGAGCGTATCATGGGGAAAGACTTACGTCCTCATCATTAATGATGACACGATCTCCATCCTTGGTGTCAATACCGTAAGTGGTACGAATCCATCTCTGCCAGAAAACGGCGTCAACCCAAGCGAAGCCAACTTGCTTGCGGTCGGACTTGTCCATATTGATGCGAATGGCCTTGGCTTGGCGCAAGGCACGTTGGTCACCGCGATCGTCAGCCTCGTCAATTCGGAGCTGCTTGGCATCACGGAGCTCTTGTCGTTCATGCTGGAACAGAAGAATCTGCTTGTCCATCCACTCGTTGGCGGCGCTCTTCAACTCGCGCTTGGCTCTCAGGAAGCCTTCCTGGTCCTCTCTGTTGACGATACCGAGGACGACGATCTTGCCATCCATGATCTCGCGGGCATTGGAGGCCGTCATCTCAGGAACAATTGGCAGCCAGACCGACTTCATCCAGTTCAAAACGCCGTGGACATCGCGCATCTCCTTGGGGGTAAGCGGCTGGTAGTACGTTGGGCGACCTTCCCTGGAAACGAGAAGGCGGGGCCAGGTGGTAATCTTATAGCGGGCGAAGAGAACGGGATCTTGGGTCTTCACGAGCTTAGCCTTGCCGATCAAGCTGAGAGGCAGGCGCTCGAGCGCCATGAAGTCCTCGCTGGTAGTAGCATGGTCGTAGAAGTAGATGAAGATGACCTCCTCCTTCTCCTCGAGGACCTGCAGGGATTCAGCATCCACGTCCTGAACGCCGTCGCAGATATCGATAGCTTTCTCGGCGTAGTGCACGAAGTCGCCGAGGCCTCTAAGCCCGTCGTACTCGACACGCTCACCACCCTTGAAGAAGAGTATGGTGGGATAGCCACGGAGGCGAACATCCTTGCAAAGCCTGGACTCGACATCGCAATTCACTTCTCCAATGTTCAGCTTTCCCTTCATCTCCTTGGCCAGTTGCTGCCAGTTAGGCGCCATGGCCTGGCAATGGTGGCACCACGGTGCGTAGAACTTGACGAACCAAGGATCCTGGGTCATGGTGACAAGAGTTTGGAACTTCTCCGCGGTAAGAGGCACGGAAATACCCTCCTTGTTGGGGGTAACAGTGGGCTTCTTGACAATGGCCTTCGTAGGAGTCGCGACAGCCTTCTCTGCAGTGGTGCTAGGCTTGGTCTCCGCCTTCACGGCATCCGGCTTTGCGTCTGCCTTGGGATCGGCCTTGGGATCGGCCTTGGAATCGGCCTTCGCATCGCCCTTGGCCTCGGTGGCCTTCTCATCCTTCGCAGGAGGAGCCTTCGGCGGGGTCTGTTCCTTAGGTGGCGCCTTGGCGTCGGTCTTCTCATCGGCCTTTGCGGGAGCCTTAGAATCAGCTTTGGCGTCGGTCTTGTCGTCCGCAGCTTTCTTAGAGTCATCGGCCTTGCCAGGCTCCTTGTCGGGAGAGTACTTGTCGCCAGCTTCAGGGAGGCTGAGGCTTCGGGGTCTCGATCCAGGCTTGGCAGCTTCCAAGTACTTTTCAAGGATGGGGCTGACTTGATCGATTTCCTTGACGCCCTTGATCAGTTCGGCGACCTCGCCATTCTTGTAGAGGATGGTGCTGGGGTACGATTGAACATTGTGGGAAGCGCAAAGGTCAAAGTATGCCACGCAGTTGACTGTGGCGAAGCGGAAGTCGTAGAATTCCGTGAAAGACTTATCCTCGGTCTCGGGTTTTGAAGTGTAGTAAAATTCGTACAGCGTCTGGAAGATGGGCGCATAATCTATGCAATGCGGGCAGTAAGGGCTGGAAGATGGTCAGTCAGCTATCGCGCGGCTAGGCAGTCGTCGGCGTCGACCGGGGTGGCAAGCAAGCAAGCATACCTGTAGTGCTTGATAAGCATGAACTGCGACGACTTGACTTCTTTGTCGAAAGTATCGGGGGTCAGCTCGAGTATTGGAGGCACCTTCATCGAATTGAAGTAGGTGTTCTCGCGATCATCCTCTTTCGCTGCTGCTTGGACTCCGCCGAGCAGGGACGAGCCGAGGAATAGGAATAAAGGAGATAACCTCATGGCGGCGACGAGGTTGCACCGCGCGGGTGCGAAGCGGTTCGAGAGAAGAGAAGTCGCGAAGCTGGAAGATGCGGCGAAAAATGAGGAGAGGGACGCGATCGATTGAGGATGCGCTTGGTTGCGCAGGCGTCGTGGAGGGAAGGAGGAGAGTGGATCGATCGGATCGTGTCGTGATGTGATGGTCGAGGGGTCACAAAAAGGGTCTAGGTAAACCTATTGAGTAGTCGAGGTCATGGAGATTGAGCGGTCGGGGGGGAAGACAGAAGACGAATTAAATCGATCTTCCCTTCGTTCGTCTTTGAGCTCAAACCTCCCGAATTCGTCCAGCGGCGTCGAAGGAGGAAAAAAAGGGTGGTGGTAGTGGTGGTGCTTTGGCAAAGGGGGAGGAGCCAACAAAGCCGATGGAAGTGACAGGCCTGGGCTGGCAGGTCAGGAGAAAGACCGTGTGTCAAGATTCTGCGGGTAGCGTGGTCCAGCCAGCCAGCCAGCCAGCCGTTGCGCAGGCAGTCTGCAGGACCGGGACTTAACAAGGACAAGGGCTGCCTGAGAGATGAGGCAATCACGGTTACCTTCAGCAGCGTTATGTGAGCGCACGCGGAGCTGGGAGCGCATGGTGCCAGCTGTCTGCCTGGTCTCGCCCTCGATTCCGCCACTCAGAGGCCCCGCAAGCACCCTGCAATATCATTGAGGGCAAGGCTCCACACATTGCGATAAGAATAGCAAAAGCAGGTTCTCCATCCAGATTGCCACCCGCCCGCAGCGGAAAGCGAATTCGTGAACAAGGAAAAGTCTAAAGTCTTGCTTTCCTGGACACGTGCGGATCGTCAACCACCACTCCAGCCAGGGGTTGGAGTGGAAAACTCTCAGTGACCCCGGATTACATAAGGCTAGCATGAGTGAGAGGGTGACAACTCATATGAGTCTCATTGCTCAACTCCAGCAACATTTGGTCAAGTCAGGCCTAACTCTCTGTCGCGGCCTCGTTGAGAGGGTTCAGATAAGGCCGTTCGCCGTGTTGACTGACAGTTGCCTGTGAGCTGCACCGCCTCCATACTTATACGCTCAATATGGCTGCTCTGCCAAGGAGTAAATGATTCGCCCAGATGCTCAGCTGATATGCAGGTCGTTCTCCTCGCAGCCCTTCGTTATCCCGCACATCTTGAACCATGCGGCTGATGTGAACCTCAAATCTCTGCTCAACTAATTTAGCATGGATCCCCTTTCGATCACGACGAGCGTGATCGCTCTAGTTCAGGCCCTCGCTGTGGGAGTCAAGTTCTTTTCCTCCATGCGACAGATTCCAGCGGACTTCTGCGACCTCAGCAATGAGCTCACAGACCTTCAGGCAGTCGCCGAGCAAGTCAAAACTTCTCTCCAAGAGATGGAAAACGACGACAACAAAAATGCAGCCGTCCCTGGCATCACTACTGCTACAATACAGACCTTGGAAGACGACTTCGTCTTGATAGTTCATGAACTAGAAGCCCTTTGCGGACGCCTCCAAAAATCAGACCGGCATGTAGACATGGTTGGAGAGCTGCGTGAGAGGGACAACGTCGCTAGGCTTCGGGCGAAAGCGAGCAAAACCAAGCAGAGCTTGATGTTGCGTTTCATTGCTCTTGTGTCGTCGCAAAGGTGACTTGATTCACGTCGGACTATGTAGCTTCGGGCTTGCTGATGTTGCACAGTACACGGCAAACAAAAGTCGTGCTAGACGGACAACAAGCATTCAGTGCCTGCTTCGAAACGATGAGCGACAGAATCGAGGCGGGCAACGCTGTGCTTCGAGAGACGCAGAGCAAGAATAATGACGTATGCGCTTCACTTCATCGGATGTTAGCCGCTGAGGCCACGAGCGCAGAGCCATCACTGCCATCCACTCCTCATGGACAGAGGCCGAATGCCGGAGTCGACGAGCCCCTGTCATCGATATCTATACACGCCTCACTCCGACAGGTTTGCCCACCATATTGCAAGTGCCAGTGTCATTTACCTTCGTCGGTTTGGACACCAACCTGGGTACGGTCAGTGCTAGGATCGTTGTTCTTCGAGTATAACGACATGCCCTTATTGATGCCCCGGAAATGCGATGATTTAGGTTGCCGTAATCATTCCTCTCTGCGACTCATCTACGTCTTTCCGAAATGGTTCGTATCTAGGGCCGTTTTTCTCACGACCTCTTGGGGAAGTCTCACTGGATTGGGGTCGAGCTTGTATTTGCAAGTTCCCAGGGTAGTGCCGAGTGTGCAGATGCTGTCAGCGGTCTACAACTCCGACATAGATTGGATCAAACGAGGCATCTCAAACTCAACCGTACTGCCAACAGACGTCGATGAAACTGGTAACTCACTTCTCATGGTAGGCTGACACGCTAAGACTCTATGATTATCTTTATTTCGTCTGTTGTTGACTCTTGGCATCTTTCCAGATCTCACTTCGAAACGTAAATCTGGAGGTCGCCAAGTTTCTTCTCGATCATGGCTGGTCGAGGAGCACTCGAAACATGACAGGATGGTATGTTCACCAAATGCGCCAAGCAACTCAAAGAGCCCAGTTCTCACTGTTACTTAGGACCGTGCCTAAGCGGGCACGTATAGTTCTCTACTCCGCATCGAAGCAAGACCATCTTTCCACGTTCGATCCAGACCATCGCTATATGATTGAGCAACTTGCACGTGGAGAAGACCGACAAGGAGGAAAATCAACGCTCATACACGATTCTGTACTCGGAGTAGTTCCGATTCCTCTACCAGATGCAATTACACAGGCTCCTTCCGACATAGATTGCCTTGACGATATCGGATGGTCTCCACTGCACTGGGCAATCTTCTTGAACGACTACGACTCGTTTGAGGTCCTCCGTAGCCGAGGCGCTGGCTTGGAAGTGAGAACGCGGGGAGGTTGGACACCTCTTCACTACGCTGCCCACTACGAGCCGCCCGGCTCGATCAGAATGGCTGCGGCACTCCTGAAAGCTGGGGCAAATGCGCATGCTAGAGTTCAAAATCACATTGGGCCCAGAGGGGAGACTCCCATCATATTCGCTTTCAACAACCCCGACATGATTAAAATTCTACTGGAACATGGATGTGACACCATTGTTCAGACGAACCTGAACTGGGAAACTCCTCTGTCATGGTTTGCTCGTGGAGCATGCAATGTTGAGCGAAACGATCTCAGGAGACGCAATTGGGAACGGTCGTTGGACTTGCTCGTGAATAATGGCATGGATATCGACCTTCCCTCGAAGCAGGCAGGTTACGAAGGTCGAACACCCATCCACGACGCTATACTGTGGCGAAACGCCGCCCTGTTGGAGCTTTTATTGGAGAGAGGAGCGAGGTATGATGCGATCGATAGTAACGGGTCTGGTATCTTGCACTTGGCGGCTCAGAGTGCAGGGCTGGATGTCATTGAGATTCTTAGGGATGCCTGCACAAGGGGTCTAAGTCCAAACCAGCCAAACGTCGCAGGTGACCCGCCGATGAAGATTTTGATGGCCAGAATGCTCGGCGAGGAAGCCATGCGCCAGCCAGGAGATACAGTGCCAGCATATGACGAGTTTCTCCTTTTCAAACAGCTTCTGCAGGAAATTCAGGAACGAAATTTGGGGCTGTTTAGGACGAAAGACCACGTCAATTCGGTCGAAGACGATGCCATCTCCAAGATTGGCGGGCCGAAAGCCGCCTGCGACGGTGACGACAACCGGACGTTTGAGAGCAATCTGGCATACATGAACACGGTTCTGTCAACCGGTGCCATAGAGGGGTTTTCTTGAGTCGATTGATTGTGTCAGTGTCGTAACTGAACGATGAGATGGGGATGGTTAAATGTTGCGTCGCGTTGTCCTGCGCGGAGCGCTACCTCCAGGCACCTTCGGTAGTTTACTGGGAAAGGTCGGCATGTAGCACAGTGGCTCTACGGGGGGAAGGTTTCGCCCCTGGAACCCTGCGCCACTGCTTCTGATGCCACTTCATGGGGAACCCAAGGTATCATGACTTACACTGAGTGTGAAGCTCCAAGCCTCAAATATTAAAGAGCACATGATGCAAGTTTCATTTCGTCTTTCTAGCAGTCAGTTTTTTTTTTGTTGGAAAACAGGATTCGAATCTGTCCAGACAGTTATTTGATGCAGGTAAGGTGTCTACAGGCACGTAAATGGGTCTGCAGGCAGGCGCGGTGTTCAACGCACCAGCCCAAGCCCCAGCGTCTCGCTGCTTTTGGCAAAAGCAACCGCTGTTGATTCCACCTTTCTCTTCCCTCCTCCCGTCAAAAGGCATTCGTCCACGATTCAACATTGGCGACAGAACTGCTCATTGCACATCAACGAGGCCACTCCCAACAAGCGTCGTTTATTGGCTGCTCGAGATGGAGCGGCCCGCGAAAAGAGCCCGCATATGTGACGACGACGAGGAGTCGGAAACGTCGACGCAGGCAGAAGGGCCGCGATCTCTGTGCAGACCGATCAGTCCTCCTCGCAAGAAGAACGATGGTGGCCAGCGCATCAAATCTCCATTCCGGCTGACTTGGATCCGGGACCTTCCGGAATCAGCGAATCGAGATGCAGTTGCCCTCAAAGACATCCTCGGAGACCCCTTGATCGCTGAGTGCTGGGAGTTCAACTACCTGCATGATATCCATTTTCTAATGAGTCACTTCGACGAGGACACCAAGAGTCTCGTCAAAGTCCACGTGGTCCATGGCTTCTGGAAAAGAGAAGACCCAAACCGCTTGGCTCTTCAAGTAAGTCCATGAAAGATTCCAACGCCGATAGCGGCACACTTGCTCATGTTTGGCCCAGGAAGAAGCCTCAGAATACAGCAACGTAGAGCTTCACGGTGCCTATATGCCAGAGATGTTTGGCACGCACCATTCCAAAATGATGATACTGGTCCGCCATGATGATTCGGCGCAGGTCGTCATACACACCGCCAACATGATCGCCAAGGACTGGACCAACATGACAAACGCCGTCTGGATGTCGCCTCTTCTTCGCTTGCTGAAAGAAAAGGACAGTCCGTCCTGCGAAGATGCTATCGGGACCGGCCAGAGATTCAAGCACGACCTCTTGAGTTATTTGAAAGCTTACAATGTTCGGAGACCCACGCTCAGGGATCTCGTCGACAAGCTGAGCCAGTATGACTTCTCAAGCGTGAAGGCTGCACTCATCGCAAGCGTGCCGGGCCGCCATTCAATACATGACACCTCTCAAACATTATGGGGTTGGCCCGCCTTAAAGCACGTACTTCACCATGTTCCTGTCCAAGACGGCAAGTCGGAGGTTGTGGTCCAGATCTCGTCCATTGCTACTCTGGGAGCCACCGACAATTGGATTCAGAAGTGTCTTTTCAACCCTCTCTCTGAATCCAGCGACAAGCGCCCAACCAAGACCAAGCCAACATTCAAGGTTGTGTTTCCGACGGCAGACGAGATCAGGAGAAGCTTGGACGGCTATGCATCTGGTGGGTCAATTCACACCAAGATCCAGTCCCAACAGCAGGCGAAGCAACTAGCCTACCTGCATCCTTTCTTCTGCCACTGGGCAAACGATGCCCCCAACGGAAAAGGTGAGGATGGTGTTGTGCTCATCGAGCTTGATCAACCACACGACTGACAAGGTAGTAGCATTGCCTGAAACAGCGACCGTGAGAGAGGCTGGCAGGAAGCGAGCAGCACCGCATATCAAGACATACATCCGGTATGGTGAGAAGTCAATCGACTGGGCGCTCGTCACGTCGGCCAACATTTCAAAGCAGGCATGGGGCGAGGCGGCAGGAGCTTCGCAGGAGGTTAGAATTGCTTCGTGGGAGATCGGCGTCTTGGTATGGCCTGAGATGATGGCCGAAAAAGCGACAATGGTGAGCACGTTCCAGACGGATTTGCCCTCGAACAACACCGAAGGAAGCGACCCAGTTGTAGGGGTTCGCATACCTTACAACCTACCACTTCAGCATTACGCAAACGACGAGATACCTTGGGTCGCAACGATGGCCCATGCAGAACCAGACAACATGGGAAGGGTTTGGGGAGTAACATAAATGGGCGGCGCAGCACACTTTCACATGCGAACGGAGGGTGCGGTTGTCTGTCAAGGGACATGTGGTATCGTTATATTGATCCTTGGAGTTTGTCATGTGAAGTGTCTGCGACTAGACTCGTCATTGCGCTTCAAACTGTGTCGTTTCTCATGGCATTCCTATGTTCGCGCCACGTTTACGCGCCGACAGTCTCGGGCTCCTTGTTGGCGTCGTAGCCGTAAGACTCCTTGAGCTTGTTGACGAGAGCGATATATTCCTCCTGGGCCTGCTCGACGGTCTTGCCCTCGTCGACAACCTTTTGCCACGAGTTGTACTTGGCCTTGCCCTGTATCGCGTGTCTTATTAGCACTGCACGTGGGATGCGGGGGTTTGGCGGCAACCAGGTCTTACCTTCAGGTCGAACATGCCAGGCTTGGGGGCATCGGCGATCTTCTCGCCAGTGCCGACCTTGTACAGGGCTGCGGTGCGATATGTCGTCAGCTACCAAAGTTCGAGGTTTGCAAAAAGGGCGACAAAAACGTACCATAGAGCTCGAGGAGCTCATCGTTGCTGGGCTTCTGGGTAAGCTTCTTGCTGTCGATGACAGCCTGCTTGAAGGCTTCGCTCTGAGGGGCAGACATGGTGTATATGAGGTTCGCTTGGACAAGAAAGATCTAAGTCTAAAGGTTTCGAGAGTCTGGTTCGTGATATGTTCGAAGAACGGATTGTTGAGCGTTTCGTGGAGAAGGTTGCTCGATGTTGGGAGGCGGAGGAAAGGGTTGGATCTTTTGGCGGGGTTAGGAGGTCCACCTGCCCGCCCACGCTTCATCATATGCGCGCGGGGCAGCTGATGCTGTCATTTAGGTTAGGTTGAGGTGGGCGCCCTGGCAATGCTGCTGATTGCACCGCCACAGGCCACCTCGCACGAAGCAGCACTTGCCGTTGCATGGCACCTTGCTCCATGCCATAGCCGCCAAGTACTACCAACAAGTACGTACCTATGAACGTATCACTACGCGATTTCACAGGCCAGAAGTCCCTTGCCGCAGCGACTGGGTCCCTGCCGACACGGTTCACGAATAGATGCAGCTGGCTGCCCGCAGCAGAGCTCTGGCGGAGCTTGGAACTTGGGGAGAGGAACGGACTGGACTGGGGGCCAAAGCGATGGTGCAGGTGCTTGGCTAACGTCCTTCCAGCGCATGTGGGGCCTCTCAACGGGGTTTGGGGCATCCGCGTTACTGGACTTGGCTGACCTCGGCTCCAAGATGCCTCTCGCCCTCCGACGCCATCAAGGAAACGGCCGTTCGATCACGTTGCTACTGAGCTAGCCGCAGAATTCCGCCAGGCACTTTGATTGGACACACGGCATTCGTCGACGGCAGGCGTTCTGGCACTCAATCTATGCTTCAGCGCTCCTCTGGTTGACACTGACCGCTTGAATGAGCAGCCATTTGAGGGTCCTCCTTCTGCCAGAACAACGTTTCTGGTGTGTGCTGTTCTCGCCGGTGTCGGCACTTTTGCCTTTCCGTGGAGCGAAGAGGCTTCGCAGACAGGATGCGCTTTGTTGGGGCCATACACCTCCAGCACTCTGATGCTGGAGCACTTGCGTGGATACTTCCAGGTTTGCCATGTCCATTGAGCTCATGTCTGGATAAGGTTCCTGCGCAACGCTTTCCTGCTGCTTGATCCATGACCAGACGAATCGGATAACTGCTTCTGCCAGCTCCGCGCCGCTTTGCGTTACGCACTTTGCCGTGTTGTCCTAGACGGCGTTGACACGTCAAAACAACCGACATCAGTCCGTTAGGAAACGACTGGGAAACGCAGATGATCTCAGCAATCCCCTCCATCAACTCTCTGCTTGCACCGGCTTTCTACATTGAGCACACTGTAGGATGGCCAATCTCATTTTCATCCCTTCTTCCGCAACGCCGTCAAATGACAGGCCTTCAAGTCTTGGTCTGCGCGTGGGGAAAGCCCGGACGGACACCGCAGATCGACATTCTACCAGGTCAAGGACAGACAATACTGGCTGAGCTGACCTACCACATGTTGTATCACCAACCGGCACGGACTTGGACACTGAAACCTCCAAAAATACTAATGAGACTTCCGCGTTGTTCATTAGCTCTGGGCGAGGACGCGTATCTACTCCTTGCGACCCGAAGAGTGCACTCCTGCCGTTGTTGCTCTGCAAGTCTCGGACCTCGCAGAGTGCGATTTCAAATAAAAGCCAGACATCTGCCAGGTGTTTTTCTAGACATTCTCAAGATTCTTAGGATTTTTGGACGACTAGACGAATATCACACGCAATTACTGATACGCATTGGTCGGTTCAACTTGTTCTCACAGCGCAGTACCTTCATCTGCACAAAACTTCATAGCCTTCATTCACCTGACGCCAGAATCGAACCCCCAAATCGACATCAACATGGTCAAGACAGTCGTTATCCTCGGTGCCGCATATGGCGGTCTCGCCGTCGCGCACCGCCTGCTCAAGTACACGAGAAAGGATGAGCAGGACCTCAGAGTCATTCTCGTTTCAAAGGTAAGACATGTGCATATGTCAATTGGTAGGGCAACTGGGAGCCCGGACGACCATTGCAGGAACCGGAGAGTACTGCGGTACGCTTCGGACGCCCGTGGGGAGGCGGCGTATTCGCGGGCGATCCACCGTCATGCGCATTGGGGGCGGCAAAGGACTTGCTATTGGGTTCATGATTCTCTTGGAGAAAAAAAGGTGCCAAAAAAGGCCATTTCGGGCTGACACCATGGCAGACAACTCATTTTTACTGGAATATGGCATCTGTCCGTGCCATTGTGCCGGGCGTATTGAAGGATGAGCAGGTTTTCCAACCGATTGAGTCCGGCTTTGCACACTACCCAAAGGAAAGCTTCGAATTCGTTCTCGGCACCGCCACCGGACTCGACCTGGCCCGCAAGTCGGCCCTTGTCTCCACCGCTTCCGGCCCGAGATCCCTGCCCTACGACTATCTGGTGCTCGCAACCGGCGCCCGCTCCGCGAGCCCCGACATGCCGTGGAAGAGCGCTGACTCGCACGAAAAGACGCTTGGCTTGCTGCACCAGACGGCGGAGAAGGTCAAGGCGGCCCGGCATGTTGTTGTCGCCGGTGCCGGCCCCACCGGTGTTGAGACCGCCGCCGAGATCCGTTTCGAGTACAAGGACAAAGAGGTCATCCTCCTCAGCGGCGACGAAGAGATTCTCGGCTCGGACCACGCCGCGAAGGGCATCGAGAACGAAATCGTCAGGCTGGGCGTGCAAGTCAAGCGAAACGCCCGGGTCGCCAACTCCCGTCCCTTGCCCGACGGCCAGACCGAGGTGACGCTCATGAACGGCGAGAAGCTCAAGACAGATCTTTACCTCCCGACCATGGGCCTGATCCCCAACTCCGAGTTCTTGGATCCCAGCTTGCTGACGGAGCGCAAATACGTCAGCGTTGATGACTGTATGCGCGTGAAAGGCGCCGACAACGTTTGGGCCTGCGGAGACTTGGTTTCCAAACCCCGCGCAGGCTTCATGGTGACCGACAAGCAGGTTGGTTGTTTCTCCATCCATTCCGTTTCGAAAACAAACAAGTGACCGAAACTAATCAAAACCACATGAGCAGGCCGCCGGCGTCGTAAAGAATATCGAACTGGCCATCAAGGGCAAGGACCAGCAAATCGTCAAGGGCATGCCGGTCGACATCTTTGTATGCTCCACTGGTCGTAGCCGCGGCGCCGGTCGCGTCGGCTGGGTCAAGGTCCCCTCCCTGTTCGTCTGGGCCGTCAAGGGTCGCACGTTGGGCTCAGACTGGCTGCCCAAGTACACAAATGGTTCACAATGGTGAGCGGGCGATGAGTAAGGCCGATGACGACGACTTCAATGGGTGTTTTGGTAACCGTTTTATTTGTACCTACATCTTACAACCTCTTAATCAGATACTTCTCCGTCATCTGAAAAGGAGTGGGCTCTTTGCAGACTATATTTACGACTACCCCAATCTATCTAGTGCAGTCTGCCAACTCCTCCGCCGAGCAGAGCGTTCTTTGGATTCTCGTCCGTGACAGCTCCCAAGATGAACATTATGGTCCTGCATGCACAAGTGCATGAAAGCAAGGGGACAGATTATAAAAAAAAAAAAAGACTCCTGCGTAAATTTGACGTGAAAGATTCCCAGCCGCACCAGCCAGCCCCAGAAACGAAATAGCCCAAGCCGGGCTCATGAGACCGTCATTCTTTCTTTTTGTTCGACATTGCCTCTCATCTGCTGAGCTTCTCATCTTCAATCTCCCGACGCAGCTGCTCTAGTACTTGCTGTCGCGAGGAGAGGTGTGACTCGAGACCCTCCACTTGCTCTCTCACCGTCTGCAAATCTTCAGACACGCTCTTGAGACTGGCTCCGCCCTTGGCCTTGCCGGAACCCTCCTCAAGCTCCCGGAGTTCCTTTCGCTTGTAGTCCAGCAGCTGCTCGAGCTCCCGCTTGACCAGGGCGGGCTTGCTGTCTCGTTTGCCGCCCTTCTTTTGCTCCACGCCGGCTTCGATACGCGCCATCTTCTCGTCGAGCTCCTGGAGCTGCTTCTTGAGCCTGACCTCCTCCCAGTCATCCGTCTTGGAAGTAGAGAAGTCAGTGCCGCTCGACTTGAAGCCACTGCGACCAAGGCGAGTAAGATACTGATCGCCGAATTTTGCTTTCCGTCCCGTTGCCGTCGAGTCGTCTGCCTTTGTGGCCCAACGGGAAGAGGCGGGGTTGTTATTGTCAAGTTGGTAGTCAATCTTATTGCGCTCGAATGAGGCGCGCAGGGACGCGGGTACAGTGCGTGGGATGCGGAAGCCCTCATGGCGGTTGTTGAGAATGTGGAGGAAGGCGAGGCAGGCATCCTTGTTGATGGAAGAGCCGGCAGAGGGGTTGATGAGGTTCCACGCGGAGCGGATATCGGTGTCGGGAACATCGAGGGATTCGTAGAGGTCTTCCAAGGCAGAGACTGCAGCCATCACAGGTCAGCAAACAAAATTACAGCAGCAGGGGGGGTGCGAGCTTGGGCGTACATGAGATTTCTCCCCGCGCATCCCGGTTCTCCTGGTATATCGACTCGTATTTGGACTTGTCCTGGGGCGTCATGTACCAGTCGAAGCCGTCCTTCAAGCCAGGAGAGTCCGGATCGTCCTCGACCTGCTCAAAGGCAACTTGCTTCCCTGTGAGCGCGCGATTCGCCTGGACGAGATGTGCTTTGGACTCGGGCACGAGCCAATCGGGCAGCGTCGTGGGGACGTCTGCGTACTCCTTATCGAACACAATGTCATTAGCACCTGAAAACATGAAGACCAGCCAGCAGCAGCACCCACTCCGTTCAGAATGTCAAAAATGACTCTCATCGCAACGCAGAACTCCTCAAAGTCGAGGTTGCCATCATTGTCGACATCGGCGAGATCCCACACCCGCTCGAGCTGGTTGTCCGTCAGGCCGCTGTTCTTCAGCACCGGCGCGGCTTGTTCTCCTGTTAGAAACTGCGACCCGCCCGTCCGAGCCGAAAAGATGTTCCAGTACGTCTCGATTTCTTGCGCTTCGATGCGAGGAGCCATGGTGATGTCTGTACGAGTGCTGGAGGCGTTCGGAGAGGTGGTGTGTAAAGATGGACGGCGGCGGCGGACTGAAGATGCTCGGGCCTCGTTTGGCAGCGTCGGAGACGATTGGCCTGTTCGTCTTTTCGAGCAGACACCAAAGGAGAAGATTGGGCCGACGGGTGCAAATGTCAAGAACCGGTTGGTAGCGGAGAGTTGTCGTTGCTGAGTGGGCCGTCGTCAGGTCGAGTCTTGCGAAGCTTGGCCAAGGACGTGGCTTGGGGTAAGTCGGGGGTGGTTCTCAAAGTGGGAGGCAGTGCTTCTGTGCATTGACTTGACTGGGTGTCCTGTGAAGCTCGGTGATGCAAGCACGACCCACTGTTGTGGTCGACCAGGGTACCCTAGACATGCGCTTAGCTCATCATGCAATTACATAACACTAATGGCTCAACTACGCCTGAACAATTACCCTCCTAGTCTTTCTCCAAAGTAAGTAAAGTGACGGAGGGCATCTCACATGGTGGGAATCACAGCATGTAAGCAATTTTCTTCATTCTGCTACTCTACAAGCTGGCTCAATGTTTTGGTATCTCAACATGAAAAAGAGGCTTATGTCCAGATGAAGCAGCCGAAAAACAAATTCCAGATTGGTGTCTGCGGTCAACCAAATGAAATGCAAGCAATCTCAAGAAGAAAGCAAGCAAAAAAAAAAAAAAAAAAAAAAAAAANAAAAAAAAAAAAAAAAAAAAAAAAAAAAAAAAAAAAAAAAAAGGCTATCCGCGTTCCTCCAAAGAAATCCCCCTCCCGCATCCAAGTGTATTATCCTCTTAAGAAAGAAAAAAAGAAAAAGCAAGTAAAGGACGTTTTCTCATGTGGAGAAAATAACACCCTAAGTGAGCGAGTGTTGTAGCGATTGTATGTGCCTGCGAAGGTGTTGCCGGCGACCTGAAGTGCCAAGCTGCGTTGTTGTAGTTCCTCTGCATGCAGGTCTCATTTGTTTGTCTCTTTTTCCAGATCGGAGTCAAGGCAGCTTCAGACAGCAGCACATGATAGCTGAGTTCATAATATCACTCAGTCTTTCTTTGAGTTCTCAGTTGCGTGCTTTGCCTGCTTTGTATTCTTGACTTGCTGTTCTACCGTTCTGAGGACAGAAGGAAATTGAACAGGCTGCGAAGGCGGCTGGACAGCTGTCTGGTTGCTAGTGGTCTGGGGTGCTTGATGATGTCCTGCCTCCGATCCTAATCTGTTCTCAAAGTACTGAGCACGAGCTTGTTGGTGCTGAGAAGCGACACCGAATGGGGAAATTTGGCCACCTGCGTGTGCATTGGTTTGATGGACTTGCATGCTAGTGCCCATAGCAGTGGTAGCTTCGAACGACATAGAGGGAGTGTTCCTGTGGGCTGGGTATCCAAAGCCAACCTGCGAATTGTGCATGCTTGCTTCCGGTCGAAAAGCCGCCTCATGGGCTGACTTTTTATTGCGCTCATGGTACTCCATGTGCTCTGGAGAAAGGGCTTGGGCGGGACGCGATTGGGTGCGAGTAGCAGACTGTGCATTTGGTTGGCTGTGGCTGATGTGTCCCATTTGAGCACCGGGACTGTTCTGAGGCTGTGAAGCAGGCATTGCCTGGGAAGGCAGGACTGGAGGAGGCACTGGCGAACACTTCTGGCCAGTCTGTCCTTTCGAGTTCTTGATCTTGATCCTGGGTTTGGCTACCTGTGACTGGTTGCCTGTTGTGAGCTCGGCGGAAGACTCCATTGTCGTTGGTGCTGGGGCCGTGAAGTTCTCAGAACTGCTAGAAGGACCAAATGTCTCTGCAGACGCGGTGAATTCTGAAGCATCAGGATCGGATTGTGTCTTTGGGGATTTCTTCTCCGGCTTGGACAATGTGGGCTTGGAGGTTGTCTTTGTAGTGGGCAGTTGAGCTCCAGCTGCGTTACTAGGCTCTTGCGAACCTGCGGGTTGAGCTCCAACGCCTTGGGCGGCGAGATCCTCGGACCTTGGATGCTTGCGAGGACGACCACGGCCACGCTTGACGGGCTGTGGTACAGCTGAAGGCGTGGGATTATTATCAGAGTTGCTGAGCTGCGAGGCACCGTACTGGTTCATCTCGGACTGTGCGGCTTGTTTTGGAAGGTTTGGAGCGAATCCAGCCTCGTTTGCCTTTTGAACATGAGCAAGTTCGTGATGAAAAGCCTCCGGCGCAGATGAAATGGATTGATTGGCAGTCTTCGCCATCGTAGTAGCAACCTGCTTTGGCTGTCTCTTGGTATGCTTCAACTGGCGGGCCTGCTGCGCTGCGGGCATCTTCTTGTTTCGAGCATTCGGCTTCTTGGTGTTCGCCTTTCGGGGCTTTTTCGCGGGGGGCAGGTATTCGTCATCATTTTGACCATCATCATACGGCTCATACTCGTCATCGCTGTCATTGCACGCCCGCTTGCGAGAAGATGTGGGCGCTGGCTGCGAGGCATAGCTCATCTCGACGCCAGGGGCTTCAATCGGAGCTTGGTTCGGCACGGGATCCAAGACGTTTCCTGCTTCACTATGGATTTCGGCGCTCGCGTGGTCTCTAGCCTGGTCCCGGTCAACTTTTGTCTGTTCGAAGTGCGTTGGCTCATTCTCTTTCACGACCGCATCAAGGTCACTACGGCCTGGCTGGGATTCTGGAGACTCGGAGGCGTCGAGGATGAACGGAGAAGTGTAGCTGCCAGTTCCGCGTCTGGCCGCCAGTGACGTGTATTGTTGACCAGGGGCAGGTTTGTTGAATAGTCTTGACCGATGAGAAGTTGCTGTTCTCGATGAGATGGTCTGCTTGGGTGCAGCATTACTAGTCCTCGTAGGAGCTGTAACTCCCACGATTTCCCCGGTTGTCCTTTGGAGTTCCTGTTGATGCAACGTGGCGGTATTGCGAGGCCGACTGTGTGCGTCGCCAGCAGCTAGGTCGTGAGCGATTGTTTGCTCCAAGGCTAGCTGTTGCTGTTCGTCGCCGGTTTGCTCGCGGTAGTCAAGCAAAGGCCGTCCGGGAACATTCCCCAAAGCCCGGCCGGACTCATCTCTTTCTATGACGAAACTGGGGTCAATCGGAACTCCGCGGTTTGTGTCAAGCTGTTGCTGCTGTGGAAGGAGAGGGTCGAGGACGTTGAGCGCATAGGGGTTTCCGTAATACTTGTAGAAGTGGCAAACTCCGTTGTTGAAGTCATCTGGTTCTCGCAATCGCTTGAGCCACAGCTCTGGCTCTTGGTCTTCGATGGGCTGGAAGTCCTGCACACGGTTGCTTCCTCTGCTCATGTAAAGCTTGACACGGCAGTAAGATAGCATGTCTTGATTGATGGGGAGTTCGACGAAGTTTGTAGACGTGCCACGCCACTTGTCGATGACATTAACAAGCTCAGGATGGCCTGACTTGCGCAAGAATGCACCGGCTAGCTCAATCTCGTGCTGGAAGAGTATATCCGTGGGGAGTCTAGGCCGAGCCAGATTGACGTACTCATCCACTGAGTGAAGGCCGTCTTCGGCGCGTTGGATGAGATCAGATACTGGGATCCGGTCAATCTTTCTGCACCAATCCAGAACCTCCTCATGACATTTGATGTAGGTTTGGATGAAAGTTGTGATCTGGTCTGTCGTAAGCTTCAGGCGGTGGACTGCCACTGAGAACTTATGAGCTTGGCACAGAGTCGACAGAATCGCCCATTGCGCCCCGGTACCGATGCTGTCCCAGGAGTCCGGATCAAGTTCACTCTGCAAAGTGCCATTCGTTCTTGACTCGAGTTCGCCTTGGGGGCCTTCGTCAATTTGTTGCTGAGGCTCGGGCTCGGGCTCGGGCTCAGGCTCAGGCGATCCCCAATCCAGGTCATTGGTCACAGCGAGACAGAACTCCTTAAAGCTTTCGCCTCTCTTTGGGGTACGCAGTTCGCCTGTAGTCTGTATGTCGTTCTCCTCCTCCCTCTGTTCCTCGATGCCGCACATGATATCATCATCTCCTGCATCCAGCGGGGGCAGGTGCGCCACCAGCGCTCGGCGTTCGCCCTGGTTGTCATCCTGGTCTACTTTGCGTTAGGAAAGCTTCTGGATTGTCGAGGGGCGGGGCAACGTACCATTATCACTGTCTGAATACTGAACGAGAGGATGATTTTCTCCATGCCGGTCTCCTCTGGCCCTTGCCTCAATGAACTGCTCGCTGGGTCCCGGATGCTGGTCTAGCTCGATGGTTGGGAAAGCGCAGTGGCGAGCAGGCTCAGGGTCGAAGACCGGATCAGGAACAGTGAAAGCTGGTCTCTCGACTCCGGCCACCAGCATCTCAGCATAGCGACCGGGCTGATGCGCTAGGGTTGACCGACGCAGCTGTCTGCCGTCACTGCCATGATCGGGCTCCTTCATGTTGATGCGACAAATTTTGCAGGAAGGGAAGAGAGGGTAATTGAGACGATTGAGATAATCAGGGTAGATAATTGGAAGCAATGTTGTTTGCCGCTATCACCACCTAACGACGGATGGTGGTGATATTGGCTGAAGGTAGCAAAAGGATGGAATGAGTGATGGGACGGTGATGGGATGGTGATGGAGTGGAGAGGGAAGTTGAGGTGGAGGCAAGGTGGACGAAAAGTGCAAGGCTGGGTGGGATGAGAAGAAGAGATGAGAAAAAGATTGTGGGTTGACCGGTTTTCGTGCGTTGTATGCGCGCGCTGCTGGTCAACGAGGGAGAAGGCAGGAACTCAACCGGGCTAGCAGGAGTCGCTCCTTCCTCCTTGCTGAGAACCAACGGTCTTGGTCGAGGTGAAGAAGTGCGGCCACCAGATCGCAAAATGGGCATGTTATACACACACCAAAGACACCCAGTGAAGTTTTCGTCCAAGGGACAGGTGCAAGCCAAGCCCAACGACGTCCTTCACCTCCCCAATCCTGTTGGGGCATCGCGATGTTGTTTCCTTCGCCCAGCCTGCTTGCAGCATCATAACTCCTTTTCCAGGGTGCTCTTATGCATGTTCCAAGCACCTAGTCGAGTCCAAGCAAAGCCATACGATATGTAGGCGAAGAGCTTGGAATGCATCACTGAACGTACGTCGACAAGTGCGAGAAGACCCAGCAGCACGTGTGTTTCTCCATGAGATGCCATCTTCAGCATAGAAAGCGAAGAGAATCTTGCGAGATTGAAGTGGCACACATCTATTGCATACCCTACAGACTGTTGGCAGCAGTAACAGTCACTCTCTATATTCAACAATGAGCCTTCGCCGACGAAAAAAGGGGTATACTGACTACCCCGGCGCCTCCCATGATTGCAAGCCGAACGGCCCTCCAGTTCCCATGAATGCAGTATTTATGTACAAAAACCATGTTTCATCGCCCCGCTGTCCCTCCTTCGGCAACGCCAAAAGCGTCTCTTACACATTCACTGCCCTGCACACCTACTTCTGGCCCGGGTCCACGAACGGAACGAACTTGGCTCTGTCTTCATATCGCTCACGGTCGACGACAAATCCATCGTAACCATCTCCCTCCATTCTGTCATCATCGTCTAGCGTAGCCTCTATGCCTCTCTTTCCTCCCTTTTGGCGGCTGTCGCTCTGGCCGGCTCTGGGTATATGTCTTGTCGCATCAGATACTATTCTCTGAGCATCGAGAAGATCCTCATAGGCCCGCAGCATCCTCTTGCTCTCCTCGTCGAAATTGACTGAGAAGCGTTGCACGGAGACAAACTGGACGCTGGGAATCATGGCCTGTCCGTAGACTGTCATGATGTATGCAGCAACGATGAAGGCCGATCGATCATTGCCTGTCTCGCACACGACCAAGACCTTCCCGCCCCTAAAGTTGTTGCTGTCGATGACCATGCGACCATCCTGCCTCTCCAGCGCCTGTGCATGGTAGACTTCGAGCAAGTGGTTATTGATTTTCCGCACGACCTCTGGAAAACCTCGGACCAACTCGAAATTGTCGGCTACATCTAAATACTCGACCTTGATGCCGAGTGACAGTGCGGCCTTGTCGACGCTCATGAAACGTGCAGCTTGTGAGAATCTCGAAACGATTATCATGCTAATGCCGTTTTGTGCCAGCCAGTTGGCATCGCGAGCAATAGAGAGCGGTCCGAGATAGAGAAAATCGAGGATTGGCTGTGCTTGGCGGCGCGCTTCATAGTTCCAGCCGACCGACCTGTCAGTGATGGTTTGTTTGACGTTGCGGGTTATGATACTGAGATCATCGCTCGTCAGGTGCATGGAATCCACATTGTCGAATGAAGGCAGCAGTGCAGAGTCGGCACCCTTGGAAAATGTGAGAGGGATGGGGATGTAGGGCGGGCTGGGCGGTCTTTGGCTCCATGGCGCCGTGGCGATGGCGTTGGAAACACTCTCGGGAGCTGATTCTGTCATGTTGATGCCCTCTTGATGCGGGGTTTTTGTGACTTGTTTGGCGTTGTCAACGCAGGAGACTATGTTTCGCAGGTAGCTTCCGTGCGCAATGACTCGAAGTGGCCAAAGCTGTACTCCGAAGTGTGTTTGCCGGGCTTGTTTGCCAAGAGGCTTATTATCCTTCTGTGTACTTTTGATTGTAGCAATTTGAGGTAGATATACTACCTAGGAACGTCGGACGTTGCGGCGATGGTTATGAGAGGCAGTGTGTTGCGAGAGGTGAAGTTGGTTGTGGAGATGGGAAGTGTGCTCCAGGGTGTGAGTGGCACTCGCCGACTGGTGGGGCTCTCGATCTAGCCTGTCTAAGCACGTGGGATCTGCGCTGAGGCAGGCAACCGCACCCGGAAGTCCCTGCGTCTTATTTTAACGTCGTTTCTTAGGTACCTAGAGGCTCTTGCCTTGAGGTTAACACAGCAAGGTGCCTTTAGCCAGTAACTTCGTATTTACCAGCAGGAAACAACCAGGGCCTATCCACCTCCATTTTGACTCACTATGTTCCGTACCAATTCTCTTGTTCGTTTGTTGTATAATGGAAAGTTCAATGGATAGTACAGTGGATAGTAATTGGACTGCGCGATGAAAGGCACACAGGATGTAGCGCCCTCAACGCGTCCCCGAAGAAGACGAATGGCTTACAAGTAAACTCTATCAACATCGAAAATCCTTTGAAAGATTTTCCCGCAAACTTTCTGGCTAGATGGGTCGGAAGGGGTTATTCAGCCAAGGTTGCATCTCTTACGGGCGCTACTCAACGCCTGCTAAGGTACCTAGGCAGTAATACCTAGTCGGGTCCTCGCAACGTGGGACGTGAACGTCACAATACTGTGAAGTGCAGTGTGGTGAGTGACAGACACCGCCGGCCTAGATGCGCAGCCCCACCCTGGGCCTCTCCCGACCTCTTGACTCCCAACTCCCGACCCTGATAGCTCACATCTTGCCCTTCTCTTTCACAACAGCCCGTGGTCTAGTGGGGTTACTAGGCGCTTTCATGCGAGTTTTTCTCTGAAAGTCCCACGCCACGGGTGCGCAAGTTCGAATCCCACTCTCTCAGTGGGTTCTTGCTCTGCCGCCGTTAGAAAAATCCCTTGCATCGTTACACCTGAGGTTGGTAAGAATCTCCTGGGGGTTTTCATAGGCTGTTCAAGCTAAACTTTTTGCCTTTTGATCTTTGAAACGTTCACTGTATATAGACCTTAATGAAACGTAGTCTTCTCCCTATTGTTACTTCTATTAGGTGTAAGAACAGTGTCTTGAGAAAGCTGTGCAGGTTGCATGTAATATATAGATTCTAGATGGGATATGCAACCACTTATGACGACAGCCGCTATAATGTATAATGGACACGTCATATATAACGGCATAGGGAGCTGATGTATTCAAATGTCGTCTATTATTTAGGATGTCGTAACTATCTTGGCTCATTCACACGTCTGCCTTAAAGAGCCTCCTACAGCTCCTCAGAGACGGTCTCGCTCTTCTTTTCAAGGGCGGGGAAGTCAGCGAAGCCGAGCTCATACACAAGACCAAGAGTCATCTTGGCATGCTCAAGCATGTGGTCAAATGAGAGGTACTTGATGAGGTCGTCGACGCTGTGAATGTGTTGATCCGAGTCCTCAAAGGCAGACTCGATAACGAAAGCTGAAGGGTAGCCGGCCTTGCTGGCGGAAGCATGATCCGAGCAGGCGTATCCGCACTTGGTCTCGGTGAAAGGAATCTTGCAGTACTGTTGATATTGTCAGCATGGTGTCGCGAGTCATGGAAGCAATGGGGAACATACCTCAACAATGACCTTCTTGATGAAATCAGTCAATCCAGCATCAACAAAGTCGGTGATGACGCCGACGCTCTCAGGCTTGCCGGCATCGAGCGTTCTTTGCACGAAGCCAGTCATGTCCTGCTGGAGCATGGCCTTCACATCACGTCCGTCCTGCTCGTATGACTTGAAGATGGCTTGGCTACCGAGGAGACCGCCCTCCTCGGCGCTGTACCAGTGAAACTCGATCGTGTTGTCGGCCTTGCCTTCGACGACGTCCTTGGACTTGAGCAAGGTACGAAGGACCTCGAGGATGGTCATGGAACCACTGCCGTCGTCGTCGGCGCCGGGCGCGGCCAGGATAGAGGGCAGCCAAAGGTTGATGGAATCTTGGTGGGCACCAATGACGACTGTGCGGTTAGACTTGCCCGGAATTGTAACAATAATACTGCTTTGTTGCCATGTGTGGGGGAACGCCGCGGCGGAGACGTGCTTATCGGCACCCGCATCCTTGATGATGGAGTTGATCTTGGAGAGAAGCCACTCGGACGACTGGCGGCCGTAGTCTGACTTGTAGTAACGGGTGTGGAAGCTGGTAAACTTCTCGAGGTTCTTCTGAATCTCGCTCTTGTCAAGGTCCTTAATCAAGGGCTTGACCTTGTCTTGGAGCGTGCACTTCTCGGGGAAGACGGGCTTGGCCTTGGCCCCGGTGCGCAGGCCGGTCTTGCCAAAGTCCTGGTGATCGGTGATATCGAAGAAACGATTGCCATTCTGCAGAGTTGCACGTCAGTACAAAAGAAGGATGGGATGCATGCGGTGTCGTCCTACCCGGCGGAGCTCCCACTTCTCCTCCTCGGTGACCCAGCGAGTGTCACCATGGGCCAGCTCAATCAGGTACTTCTCAGGCTCGGAGCCGGCGGGATACAACTGGACGCGGTTGATCTCGTCATCGGCAACAAAGCGGGCCGTAGCCGAATGAGCCAAGATGGCGAGAAGCGAAGCTTTGGCAACCTTCATTTTGGATTGATGTAGTTGATCAAGTCGTACAGTCTGGGGATGATGAGGTGGGCGGGTGGATGTCAGAGGGAAGAGGAGTTGGCGTCAAGTCGCGGGTTGTTTTAATAGGTAGGTACCTAGCTACCTAGGCAGGGGACGCCACTGCAACAGCTTAGGTACGCAGGACCCAATGTGTGGAACTGAAGCTCCCCTGTCTG